GGTGTGTGCGTGTGTGTGTGTGTGTGTGTGTGTGTGTGTGTGTGTGTGTGTGTGTGTGTGTGTGTGTGTGTGTGTGTGTGTGTGTGTGTGTGTGTGTGTGTGTGTGTGTGTGTGTGTGTATGATATATATTATAATATATATATATATATATATATATATATATATATATATATATATATATATATTATATATATATATATGCATTATATAAATATATATTATACATATAATATATATATATATATATATATATATATATATATATATATATATATATATATATATATATACATATATATATGTATATATATAATATATACATATGTATGTATGTATATATGTATATGTATGTATTTATACACGTATCTCAACATCTCCCCGCCTTCTCTGTCCTTTTAGCTCCTCCACTCCCTCCCTCCCCCCTCCCTCCCGCTGAGGCATCTCGATCCAGCGTTATGCAGAGCGGGTGCGTCAAGCGTCCCCTCAAGCGGGAGGCGAAGGAAGGCCCAGCGCTTGAGGGGAGGTTGTTGTCCCCCCGCGTCCAGGGAGTTGCTAGATGCCGCCATTTTTTATGCGTCGCTTAGCAGGGGAGTTCTTTTTTTGTTTTTGTTTTTTTCTTGAATTGTGATTTTTGATGTCTCTATTTATTCTTTTTTTGTGTGTGTGTACGTGTTGTTGAAGTTTCTGTTTTTATTGATGATGATAATGTATCATTAAAAATCGCTCTGTTATTTTCACAGTTGTTGCTATTTTCACGGTCATCATTAATATGCATAATTACCATTTCCTGCTGGTGATATCAACTGTACATTGACAGTTGTCCTCTCCGTCACTTTTGATATTCATTTCTATTTTTGTTTTTCAATTTCTGTTATCATTATTTCCACTATTTTATTCAACGAAAAAATCGTTATCTTATCCTTCTACTCCCCCTTCTTCCCTTTACTTTCTCCCCCTTCTTATTACCCTTATCCAATCATTCGTCTTCTCCTTATCCTTGGAATACTTTCTGCTTTTTCGAGACAAAGAGAAAGGAAATTATAAAAATATTTTGAGTCTGACGTAAGGTTCTTTTCACCGTAGATGTTCGTTTCCGGGTTATTATCACTGCCCCTTTTTTCTTTTTTCTTGTGAATTGTAGGCCTACTTCTCCCCCCCCCCCGTCCTCCTCGTTCACTTGACCTTTCTTCTACTTTCATTTTTCTTTCTTGTTTCGTGTTATTCATTTTTATTGAGATTTTCCATCTCATTTTACCTCATTTTCTTCCTTATGTCTTCTTTTCCTTCTTATCTATTTTTCTTTCTTCTCTTCTTCTCTTTCTTCCTCCTCCTCTTCTTCAGTTTTGTTCTTCCTCTACCTCTCTCCTTTCCTCCTATTTCATTTTTCATTCCCGTCTCTGTTCTTTTCTTCTTCCCTGCCCCATTTCCACCCTTTTCCTTACATCTTTTCCTTTTCATCCTCCACCACTTCTTACTCCTTCCTTCTCTCCTTCTCCCTTTCCTCTTCTCCTCATCCTTTCCTCCTCTGCCTTCTCCCCCGCCTCTTCCTCCCTTCCCACTACCTGCTCTTTCTCCTTTCTCTCTCTTCCCCCTTTCCTTTTCTTTCTTCTCTTCTTTCTCCGCCCTTCTCCCCCTTCCCTTCCCTCTTTCATCATCTCTTCTTCTCCCTCTTCCGTCCCCCTTCCTTTCTTCTTCCTTCCCTTCTTCCTCTTCCTTCTCCCCCTCCTCCTTTCTCTTTTCCTCTTCTCCCTCCTCCTTCTCTTCCCTCGCCCTCTTTCCTCACTCCTCCCCTTCCCTGTCACCCCTTACCCTCACCCTCCCCTTCCCTCCTCTCTTCCGTCACCCCCTTTCTCCTCCTCCTTCCTTCCCTCCTCTCCCCCCCCCCTTTCCACACGTAAGCCATCCGCCAAGAGAAAAACTCAAGAAAGTAATCATTCACACGACAGGGCCTTCCAGAGTCGCCATTACTACCATTATCCATTATTACCGTTTTATCCATTATCCAGATCCTAATCGTCAGATCCATTATCGTCTCTTTTGCCAGACCAGTTGTAAATGTCTTATTTCGTTCATTCACACACGCACAGATAGATAGATTGAGAGAGAGAGAGAGAGAGAGAGAGAGAGAGAGAGAGAGAGAGAGAGAGAGAGAGAGAGAGAGAGAGAGAGAGAGAGAGAGAGAGAGAGAGAGAGAGAGAGAGAGAGAGAGAGAGAGAGAGAGAGAGAGAGAGAGAGAGAGAGAGAGAGAGAAGAAGAAGAGAGAGAGTAGAGAGAGAGAAGAAAAGAGGAGAGAGAAAGAGAGAGAAAGGAGAGAGAGAGAGAGAGAGAGAGAGAGAGAGAGAGAGAGAGAGAGAGAGAGAGAGAGAGAGAGAGAGAGAGAGAGAGAGAGAGAGAGAGAGGAGAGAGAGAGAAGAGAGAGGAGAGAGAGAGAGAGAGAGAGAGAGAGAGAGAGAGAGAGAGAGAGAGAGAGAGAGAGAGAGAGAGAGAGAGAGGAGAGAGAGAGAGAGAGAGAGAGAGAGAGAGAGAGAGAGAGAGAGAGAGAGAGAGAGAGAGAGAGAGAGAGAGAGAGAGAGAGAGAGAGAGAGAGAGAGAGAGAGAGAGAGAGAGAGAGAGAGTGAAGGAGAGAGAGAGGTGAAGGAGAGAGAGAGAGAGAGAGGAGAGAGAGAGAGAGAGAGAGAAGAGAGAGAGAGAAGAGAGAGAGAGAGAGAGAGAGAGAGAGAGAGAGAGAGAGAGAGAGAGAGAGAGAGAGAGGAGAGTAGAGAGAGAGAGGAAGACGAGAGAGAGAAGAGAGAGAGAGAGAGAGAGAGAAGAGAGAGAGAGAGAGAGAGAGAGAGAGAGAGAGAGAGAGAGAGAGAGAGAGAGAGAGAGAGAGACAATGAGAGAGAGAGAGAGAGAGAGAAGAGTAGAGAGTATAGAAAGACGTAAAGGGAAAGAGAAAGAGAGAGAGGGGTGTGTGTGTGTGTGTGTGTGTCCTTGTGTACACTACCTTTCTCTGTTGTGGATTCAGAGTGACTGAAGTTCAACACGATGTCGTTTATCCTACGATTTATATACATACATTTTTTTCTTATCCATTTCCGCCCATGTTTCTCTGTCCCGCTGTAATGAACCGAGCCATCTGGTGGTACATTTTGTCTTTCTGTTTTATTATTTACCTGTTTACGTTTTTTATTTTGCGATCATCAATTATTTGTATTAAATTTGAGGAAGCTCTTACCCCCCCCCCATCACCACCCCCTCCCTGCCCCTCCCTCCCTACCAAGTCAAGGGCGTGGCAATAATATCAGAGGGAGAGGAAGGGGGAGAGGGGAGGGAAGGGGAGGAGAGGCAGAGGGAGAGGAAGAGAGGGGAGAGTGAGGGGGGAGAGGAGAAGAGAAGGGTGAGAGGAGGAGAGGAGGAGGAGAGGAATGGAGGGGGAGTGGCAGGAGAGGGAGGGGGAAGAGGAAGAAGGGAGAGGAAAAATGGGAGGAGAGGGAGAGGAGAAGGAAGGGGAAGAGGGGTAAGGGGAGGAGAGGAGGAGAGAGGAGGAGGCAGGAAGATTGGGAAGAGGGGGAGAGGGGAAAATGAGTGAGTTTCAGGGTGGATCTATAACTGCGTACAGTATATTCAGCACGCCCGAATATCGACTTACAACTCACGAAGCAATACAAAAAAAAATCGCCAAGGTCGTATACATAAATGTATACATTATGCTTGAAACATTTATTTCTATCTCTTTGTTTTGAGTGTTTGTGCGTATTTGCGTCTCTTGCAATATTGCTGTCTTGCATGACACGAGTCAATGTGCGCAGGTAACGTCTGCAAAATGTACACACGCACATGCAGACATATGCAAATGTGAACGTAATTAGGCAAACATCGCAGTACGTTCTCATCATTTTAAAATATCCGGAAATGTTAAGAAGTTACCAAACTCAGTCACCATTATCCGCGATCGTTTGACCGCAAACTGTATTTCTTTTCGTTATTTCCTTTAAAAAATTATTCGCATTTGCGGAGAGGCAGTCATCGCCACAACAATGTCTTCATCGCACCATCAGCATGGAGCTCATCATCACTTGTTATTGTTATTATTATCATCATTATTTATTATTATTTTTAATGAGCGGGCTTCCACCATATGGCGTGGGCACTGGATAAACAGATTTGTTCATTCCAAGACTAGGATTCGCATAATACTAGATAAACGGATTTATGTAAAAATCCGTACACGAAAACAATTTTCTTAATGGAGATCTCGAAGAAGAAAAAGATTATTTTACAAGACAAATTTTGAGATTTGGCAAGACGAGACTACTTCCGGAGTCACTTTGAAAGGGAAACGCCATCCCATAGCCGCCCGCAGCCCGCCCACCCACTCTTTGTGCCCGTATACAATTGGCCATGACTGTACACATACCTTAAGGGACAAGTCTCGTTACGTATACACCTACGCATACTAACAGGCTTACCCCCTAACGCACACAATATCGCCTTTTCTAGTCATCTCGACAATGTAAATATATATATATCTTCGGATACGTTTGTTTTTCCACACACACACACACACACACAC